TTTCTTTTCTCAAAATGGCCTCTTTTCTTTGCCTTCTTATTCTATTTTCGTGGAAATTTACTTGATTTATCTTCCAATTCTTTTATTAGGTATTTTCTTTTACTTACTATATTGCTAATTTCAAGTTTCCTTCTTCATTGACAGTTTTTTTTCTGGTTCTCAATCATGAGAACCTTTTCTTTTCTTTGGGCATATTAATTATTGTTTGTTTATTTGTTTTTTCATTCATTTCCTCTAGTTCCCTACTGTTTTTGTCTCCCCTGAGCCTACTGTCCTGTGTGTTTGTTTGGTGCCTGACATTCATTCTGCTGATCTGCTCTCTACTCCTGTGGAGGAGTGAAGAATCAGCAATTTGATTGGACCTCTGTGAGCGTGGGCGTGGCTTGGAGGCATCACTGTTGGGTGATTGGGGTGCGATCTAAGTGTTTTGGTTCAGATAGCCCCAAGTGTCAAAGTTGGTTTCCTTTCCTCTGTGGCCACTCACCTCATCTAGAAAATAGGTTGACTGTCTCCTGTCCCAGAAATATAAACATGGCTGCTGATGTTCTAGGAGCCAAGTTGCCACTTTGTCTTGTAAATTCCTTACTGTTGTCATAGAGAAGTTTTAGGGATTTTAGGCAAATATGTAGACATATTGAGTCAGCCATGTTTATCTGTAAATTCTACAACAGATTTGAGAGTGTGTGACTGATTTCATAGGCACAGTTTAGCTGTATGACCCGAGCTGAAATTCATTCTAACTTCCCGATTACTGCTTCTGGAAACATCAGAGACAAAGAGAATTATAGTACCCTTTTGTTTTTCTTTTAGACATATCAGAAATATGTAATTTAGTCTCCCCTGTAGACAACTACAGACAACTGTTTCATGTATATTATGCCCATCATTTTTATTCCTTCTATATATAAACACTTATTTTAATTTCTAAAATGAATAAATATATGCCTTGTTGTAAGTGGATTTCCCCTCCTTGGATATTTTTCATATCAATACACAGGATATACCTAATTCTTTTCAGTGGTCAGGTTGTGAGTATTCCATTGAAAAATGTATCAAAATGTATATTATAATTATTGACAGCATTATATTCTTTTTTGTCACTACTAATGCTGCAATGAATATAATACCACCTGTAGATT